CTCGATTGACATTTTTTTAAATTTAAGCATTTCTTTAACAAATTTTTAAATGTTTTTTTGCAAGTCTAGAATTTTTTTAAGCCTGTATTTCTTGACATTTTCTTAATATCATCAACTGTCTTTTGTAACACGATATTTTTAAAAATCTCGATTGACATTTTTTTTTAATTTATACACTTTTTTAAGAAATTTTTAATTTTTTTTTGCAAGTCTAAAAATTTTTTAAGGCAATATTTCAAGACACTCTTTTAGTCCCCTCTACTGCCTTTTGCAACACAATGTTTTAAAAAATCTCGACTGACACTTACTAAATAAAAATTTGACCACAATGGCTAGTAATTTTTATCAAATTTTGAAGAAAATTACAGCATAGAAGAAGAAAACAATGATTTTTATTGAAACAAACCTGCAATAAATCTTTTTGAAAGCTCTTGAAAATTAGAGAAAAGAAATAAATGTTTGTTGATCTCTTTGAAATAAAGAGAAACATTATTAGTCTCTTTTTTTGAATAAATAAATAGGTAATCAAAATTTAGGTATATGAAATAAATTTTATGAATATGTCAAAAATAATAAACAAAAAATGACAAAATTATATAAAATATTTGCATATAAGATAGAATGAGGTTTAGAAAGAGGCGAAATAAATTTAAATATAAATTTTGACAAAATCTGATACCTAGTGTAAGTTTTTAGCGGCAAAGCCGCGAGCCCCCTTTACAAAATTTAACAAAATTTGATAGTCTCCCTTACTGTCTTTTGCAACATGATGTTTGAAGGTCTCGATTGACATTTTTTTAAATTTAAGCATTTCTTTAAGAAATTTTTAAATGTTTTTTTGCAAGTCTAGAATTTTTCAAGCCTGTATTTCTTGACATTTTCTTAATCTCCCCTACTGTCTTTTGCAACACGATGTTTTGAAAAGTCTCGACTGACTCTTTACTAAATAAAAATTTGACCACAATGGCTAGTAATTTTTACCAAATTTTGAAGAAAATTGAAGATATATTCGTCGACTATTTCCAATGAAATAGAATGTTTAATAATTTTTGAGCCGGTGCGCAACAATAACATTGTGACAGTCCCAGTTTCGCAAGCTTCACCTCGATGGAAAAAAGTAGGCAACGCTCGAGATGCTTGTGTATTTCAATTGTTATTATTTCCAGAGATTACCATGATAAATACGATTATTACTTAAGCCGAAACAATTGAAATTGTTGTGTCGAAGAGTTTATCTATTTTTAATTCGCGTTACTAAACATCCTGATTCGCCGCTTATTTTTATGCAACGAATTAATTGTTTATTGTGTAGGCATCTACATTTCTTCATGCAATAACATTCAGGTAGCGCGACTTAAACCTAAACACCCCTCATTTATTTACATAAGAAAGGGGTGAACGCGTCTCTCATCCCCCGGAAATGCAACTGAATTTTTCGAATGTGGGTCGCTGAGATAAGGGAAAAAGTTGGGCGCGTGCTGAAACAAAACGCGAAATTAGCCACAAATATAACAATCAGTACTTCACACTTTGAAAGCATCAGTTTGCGGCCACGAAATCGTTTACAAACTACACAGCCGACTATGATAGTGGCGAGGGAAAAAACGAGACGCTTGCGGTCCTGCACGGATGGGCGTCGCGACGCCGGTGGGACGAGGATGGAGGAGAGGACGTGGGGAGAGACGATGAAGACCAGCTACTCAAACATTCAAACGACCACAAGCAAGTGGTCTTACACTTGGGAGAGGGATGGGGGAGGAAACAAAAGCGAATCAAGGGTGGATGTGAGAAAAATCACAGAAACAACAATAAACAATTAATTTTCGATTAATTATGTTCAAAGAATTGTTTATTTTAAGCTACATTAAATACTTGACACAAATAAATTTATTTATTTATAATACCTTTTTAAATTAGGAAACATTGAGAATTTTATATTTAGTTTGTTGCTATATCGTTTAAGATTAATTTTATTTATTTAGTAAATATTTTACTTAATTTTTTTTTGTCTACACAAAATGACACATGTCATTTTAAAACTTAATTACCAATTTTTGAAAAATAATATACAGGGTGCGCTAGAACTCGCACCCCAGAGAAAAATGCTATGTAAGGTAAAATACCAGGAACATGGAAAAAGTGTTTGAAAAATGCTATCTATAAAAATTTCAAAGTTATGAGAGTTCAAATTTTGCACTATTTATTTGGAAAAATAATTTTCAAAGTTCTGACACAGCCTGTATAAAAAAAATATAATAAAATAATTATGACTTGGCACAAATAAATTTATTTATAATAATTTTTTAAATTATGAAACATTGAGAAATTGAAAAAATTATAATTTTTCAAACAGTTTATTACTGCATAACCTTGCAGTCTTTTAATTTCTCATCGGTTTTAAG